TTTTGTTAATAATTTGGATGATCACACGACAAACAGAACTTGGGTGAAAAATTTTGACCCTTTCAGTTCGAAGGTTCAATGTAGCTGCAGAAAATTCGAAATGATGGGGTCATTATGTGTACACTCTCTACGAGTACTGAATTTTCTACATATTAAAAAGATCCCAGATAAATATCTCCTATTGAGATGGTCCGCAAATGTAAAAAGAGATGTGTATAACAGTGATGCATACAAGCATTTCCAACAGTCACAAATGTGGAATGATGGTAAAGGTGACCTAATATTCGAAGAAACACACATGCAAAAAATGCAAAAAATGTCATATATAATTACTAATAAGGTCAAGGGAAATGCAGAGACTGAGCAGTGCATGAAGGATTCAATCAAGAAATTATCGTTGGATATTGATAATATAATAGGTGGAAGAGGTTCAAAGTCACAGAAACAAGCTAAAAAAATAAAAATCCGGTGAATGACGAATCAAATCTGAATGATTCCGCCAAAATGCGCCCTAAAGAAATATTTAATTATATACTTAAAGGTTACTGGGAGAAAAAAAAAGAGCAAAAGGTATTTTTCGCTTTAAAAATTTGATTTTGGGATGTTTTATCCAATGACAAGTTTCTTACCCATAACCACTTCAACAGGTAAATCGATAGAAGTTTCAACCAGTCAAGAACCCGATGTTTTAAAGTCTGATCCAAACATGTCGTCACTGTCTCATTTTCTAACACAAGTCGATATATAATGGAAAATAATAATAACCATTTGTTAATTGTGTTGTGTTTTGTATGTTATTTTAATATTTTTTTATCTTTCAAATGCAGAATTTCTTTCCTCCACGGTACAGGGAGTCCTACATTGCAATGATGATAGATTCAATACATGATCAGTAAGTAATTTGACATATTTGTTAATTGCAAGGTTTTTATTTAATATAATTTACAAATATGTTATAAATCTCATAAAAATGCACAGATACATGTCACATATCAATTGTGTTCAATCCAATTTTTAAATCTCAATTAAAAAAATTCATATAAGCTGCAATAAATGTTGTCCTTTCACACTTGTGATTTTGACAAAACAAATTTACAAATGTTATATATAATTTCTGCTCTGAATAATGGCATCAATTCCTGTCAGTCTTTTTTTCTCCACCCAATTAACTTTCTCTTTTTATAAAAGTGTCTCCATATATTTATAGACAAAAACACCACAATCATAACTATTACTTTGCACTGGAATTCCTCTGGTCATTACAACTGACCACTTATTCAAATTATCCTCGAAAGCTTCACTGATATCCCTTAAAAAATGATCAATCTCTATATTTAAAGTTCAGTCAATAAATAAATATTTCAATATTTATATTTACAATGTGACACTAGTTGATACTTACAACGCTTTGGGTGGTGGCTAAATACATTATCATAAACTCTTCATTTTCCCTCAGTTAGTGTCCCAATAAAAAATATCCAATGCTAATTATTTATTATAGGTATCAGTGCTTTGGGTGGTGGCTAAATGCATTATCATAAACTCTTCATTTTCCCTCAATTAGTGTCCCAATAAGAAATATCCAATGCTAATTATTTATTATAGGTATCAGTATCAACTCTGTCTTCTGGATAGCATACTTTGTAATATGTGCGACAAAAAGTTTAATGTTACATTGTCTATACAACTACATCAAGAAGAACAAATTAACATTCAAAATATAGTCATGTTAGATTTGTATAAATGCAAACAAGAAAACTTTTAATTTTTCAAAGTTTACCCAGTGGCATAGATAAACATATAGATATGATTTATATAGATGTGGTACGTTACACCGTTTATTCTCCATCAACATGGCAAAACAATCAACTTGTTCATTCTCTAACCAACCGTTTCTCAAGAATTCATCGAGATAACGTCGCGACACTGAAACATGTCTCATATCTATTAACAGTCACTCATGCATTTGAAATATAAAATTACTTCAATTTACAGTTACAAAATTAATGAAGAACAGCAAAAAATTTGGTAAACTAACAATTCTGTGTATTTTCTAGCATATATCTATTGTTTCTCGCATATAATCTGGAATTTCATCTCTAGCAAGAAAGTCGATCACTTGTGATGCTTGCTGGGCCTGTAAGATAAGCAAATCAGAATAGTTACTGCACATATTTAAATACTTGAAGAAAACATTTCATACATTGTCTGTGTAGTCCTCATTAACATAATGACTGGCTAGTTGTTGCTCCTCTTTATGTACAAATGCAACCTCTTATTGGGGAGATTTGGGTTGCTGGTCTACACCCACTTCCTCTTCTTGTACGATTTCAACCGGTTCTTTTTTTCTCTTTCTTTCGAAAACAACATATCGGGAATTAAGAGTCTTCTTTCTTCTATTTACTCTATCTTTAATCTTTTAGATCAAGTTTCTTTGTGGGGACTCTTTCACCCATCTTCTCGGTAACTCTCCATCTGTTTGTTTAATTGTTTTCTTTACTTTCACGACATGACACTTTAAGTCGATCACCGTATTCTCTAACTTTGTCAATCAACTTTCAACAAATTCTTGAAATTCCAAAATTGTATTCTCTGACTGTATCAGACGACTGTCAATGGATACTTGAAAATCTAATATAATTTTTTGTTAGTCTTTCAATAAATCATGCATCTCTTCAAATCCAAGTGTTTGTCCTAGTATTTTACTCGTCTGTTCAAATGTATGATTGTCGGTTGGTTGAGTACCAATATGATAAAGTACTATAGGAGATACCTCAACCAACATGGGTGACTGTGGTATGGGATGGGTCTCCCATTGTGAGACAAGCTTTGCAGGACTGGAGGGCTCTTAAAGAGAAGTGGCGAGTAAGTGATGCTCATTTTCCTCTACATCGAGAAAAAAATCATACACCTGTAAAAAAATTGCAGATCATCAAGAGCAATTAATGTATAACATGATCATAATACTAACTTCTATTAAAAGTTATTTAATTCACCTCGGCAGGGCTGAGCATATTGAAGGTTAGTTGAATCTATAAAGCATTTCATCTTACATTTACTGGTCACCTTAGCATCTGGGGCCTAGCCTCAGGAACTGCTGGCACGACCAAGGACGTCTGCTCAAAAAACTAGAGCTGTGTGAAGCAAATTAAAATAAATATTTTGTATGAAAATCGAAATTTATGAAAACAGATTTCAGTAATAATGTGCAGAGAACAAACCGTTAAGAGGAAGACAAAACCAATAATGTATCCAAGTTATCGATCTGTCCTAAGTTTCATAGCACATAGGTTCAATTGCTCGATCAAAAAGCCACACACTGTCGCAGACCAATTATAAGAGCTGAAAGCTTCTACTTCCTCGCAAAGAAAAGACAGCTGCTTGGATACTCTAAAATTGTTTGAAGTAAAAAGTAAATTAGTTCATAAAAACTTTATTAATAATTTTATAAAACGATCAGACGACTGTCCTGACTCAAAATTGATAAGTTCGATTTTTATTTGTCTCGCATCAATGTTACAAGACGGAGTTTTATTCCAGCATGCAGGGTGACCCTCTATTAGGCATGTATATCAGGAGGGCAACTTAATCAGTATCAAATTTGAGCTCTTTCCCACCTAGTTGAAATGTCATTCGATCAATATCCCAAAAGTTAATTATATGCATTATCAAAATATGATAATGAGGGTACGGAGGGAGTTCAAAAAATTGAACTAAGCTCATGGTTTCCAACTTATTCCACGTGTGCTCGTCGATAGTTGATCGGACTTTATCAAGAGCTTCTCGTACTACAGATGAACGGCATCTACAATTCATTGATTTTGCGCTCAAAAATCAACAATTAATTTTAATGTATGTTAAACCATGTAAATAATAATCAAAATAAAAATCTCTTACAAAATCAAACTCATTTAATCAAAATATTCATTTGACCCTAAACCCTAATTTCAAAACCCCATTTCAAAAACTCAAATTTAAGATCTTTCAAAACTCAAGATTAAAATTTAACATTCAGAATTGTCTTTTAAAAGCACAAAATTTTAAACAAAGCAAAGTCTCAAAATACCTAGAAACGACTTTGTGCTTCTTAATTGATTCGGTGTCCTCCGTTTTGGAGTCATCTAAATCCTTCTTCTTACATCCACCCTTCGTCATTTGCTTTAGAATCTCGACCTCAAGCTTCTTGACTCTTCCACGTCCGACTTATCCGCCTCCTCAAACTGCGCGACATTCTCTTCCAATACGGTCATAGTCTTGTTGATGTCCTCCATTTTAATCCAAATGCGAAACACTAAACAATACCTCAACGTTCGAGAGGAAAGTAAACCCTAGGCGCGAACGAAAACATCAACGAACCCTATTTCGAAAAAGAATTCTTACTGTTTACCACGGGTATTTGATCAATACGCGTTAAGCGAAGGTTACATTGGCTACCAAGGTTACGGCAAGGTTACACGATCGGTACATTTACTCAGCTGGTTGCCGCAAAGTTACAATCTCTCTGCACAAGGTTGTGGAGGTTACCGCAACGTTACACGCGTGATTCAATTGTCTGGAGGTTACACCATGATTATGATCAGTTATTAAAGTTGTACCGCGGGATCGAACGCTCGTTACATGATGCTTACGGATTGGTTATAGCTCATTTATAATCGTGCGGGCCGAGTCGACAGGTCACGCGGGTAATATTTCAAATATAGGCGGTGGACCGATTCAGCTTATGTGTCAAGCTGCCATTGGAAGACGTGGGCAGCGCTATGTGCGTCTTTCATACGCAAATTTTTTCCCCGTAACAGACATATCCAAAGCATTCCCACAAATAAATACTAAAGTTGAAGTACATGGCAACAAGGGTTGCCTGTACCATAGGCCTTCAAAATAAGGTCAGACGGATTTATCATTTACTTGGAAATGCTCAAACACCAAGAGAATAATAAATTTAAGATTTAAAAATCTGAAATTAAAAATCTTCCTCGATCGAGAATAATAAGAAGACATACTCTGATCCAGGCCTTTGGCTAAGAGAAGAAAAAGGTACCGAAGGAAGCTACAATCCACGACCACCGGCGAATCTATCCCGACTCAATCTTGCAGCTATTCTCCTTGCCCAAGGACTTTCAATGGTCGAGAAACACTTCCCAAGGATCGCTTGCAACAAGCCCTCGTGTCTTACTGGAATTAGAAAATCGGAAAAAATCACCACCGCTGCCCTCGCTCGTCCTCTTTCGTCGTATTTATTTCTATAATTCATATATATATATATATATATATATATAACATATATATATATATATATATGTATGTATGTATAGTGTAAATGTATGGACAAATCAAAAACGATAAATATGCACGTTCAGCTCTTCCGGTTGTAATTGAAAGGACAAAAATTGAATTAAGCTGATTTATTTACGTACTAATTATTATTAATCTAGATAATTAATTATAGTTAATAAAAATACTTAACTCACAAATTTAAATATTAAACATGTCATATGTGTCTTAAATATTTTTCAAAAAATGGAAAAAAAAATCTGAATGAGCAAAAGAAAATCTTGAATAATGAAGAATGAGTCTAGGTTGGTAAATAATGATCTAAAGCGTTTTTCACATAAGACAGAAATTTAATTTAACAAATTATAATTTATTATTAAATTTTAATTGATTTTCTAGAGAATTTAAAATAAGTATTCAAATATCCTTTAAAAATAATAGGAATATTCTCTAGTTCCCATAAAATCAGAAGATATTTAAAATTAACTTTAAATTTTAAATATCTTTTTAATATTTAAGAAAATTTTAATAATATAAAAAAATTTCTTTAAATTATGAGAAACTTTATATAGCCAAGGAAAACCAGAAAATCATCCTATAAAAAATTAGGATAATTTTAATTTAATTTAAATTTTAAATTAATTTATAGTATATTCAAAAACTTTTAAAATAATATTTATATAAATACTGAGAATACCTTTTGAAGTGTTTACGTTGACCTCTTAGTAATCCCATAAAATTTTAGGCTATGTGAATTGAATTTAGATTTTTTTATTAATTTTTTATTATTTTATAATTAAAAATTAATTTAATAATTAAATTATTAAAATTTAGGCTCAGGCCAGCCCTCTGATGCTTTCATAATTTTCCTCAAAATTTATAATCATTCTATGATTTTTAATGAATTAATGAGTAAATTTAAAATAAAATTAAATCTATATTTCTTTATTTAATTATTAGAAAATACAAAAATATTAAAGTTTTTATGACATTTTGGTTAGAATAATTAGTTAAAGATTTGAAGTTTTAGTTTTATTAGTTTAAATTTTAATAAAAACATTAACGTTAATCAATAATTAATTAATCTAATAAAACAATTAAACAATTGATCAACCTAATCCATTAAATAATTTAAAGAAGATTTATATACATACCACTCAATTCTTAAGTAATTATGCAAATAACATCTATACTTCAACTATACATATATGCCACCTTTTATATACATGAAAATGTGTATTTAACATTTTAGAAGTAAAAATATATATATTTTTTAAGTGATAAAGAAATTTTTGCGAGGTATAAATGTAAGAAATAAAGTCTAGGTGTTAGATGTGAACGCATAAAAATTGGGCTGTATGTACTTAAATGCCCTTTAATTTTTTGACGTTACCTAAATCTTGGTGAAATGATTAATTTTTGGAAACTAATAAAATATAATTTATATTTTGCCATTTTTGGAATATTTAAATATTTAATATTCTAAGTTTTTTTAATCATTAATGAATATTCTAAGATTAATATTAGTATTAATATATATATATATATATATATATGTATATATATATAGATATACATATATAGATTTACATACATATATAGACATACATATATAGATGTACATGTATAGATACGTAGATATACATATAGATATGCATACCTTTATGTATGAATTATGCCTTAAAATATTAAAATACCAGCTTGAGCAACATTACCAATAATTATTTCTATGACATGATTTTTCTGTCATTGTTTTTGTGGTGATGTAATGGCTCAGTTAATATTTTTCATACTATTGAATTTTAATATAAGAAAACTTTATACAATAAAGTACAAGTTAAGGTTCATGAATGAAGTACAAATGTAGATATTAGTACTTTAGAACAACATAGAATCACGAGTATTTAGGATGCAATGCGAAAGAGATCTTAAAACTTATGCCTAGTTGCTATTATAGTTTTGCATTGATTTAGGGTTTGGCATATATAAGCAAATCTTAACCGTATTTTCTAAATATTACACAGATTTCAAAATAAAAACAACAGTTAGAAAACTCGCAGGAACCAAAATTGTAGGACTTTCAATTATATAAATATCCCATGTGATCGGATGGTACCCAAAAATAGGAAACTTATTAAATAATAGGATGACAAAAGAAAAGAAGATGGAAATCCGCTGAATTGCAATTGGAATGGTTGGCAAAGCATTGTGAAGAGTGTTATCGCAGGGTAACCACAAGGCTTCTTTTAATGAACTTTGCACCTGCAACCTTTCCTTGCATACCAGGAGGCAACTGGATGATGCGTCTTTGATCCCCTGCTTCTACCAGTAGCTCTGCACCCCCTCTATACTGTGTTAAGAACATGTATCTGCCATCAAACTATGCTAGTAGAAGAAAACAACTGGTGAAATCATATAAGCACAAGACAGGCAAGTGACTCAAATACTTCATGTCAGCAAAGATTTACTATGATGTATTAAACCAGTGAATGATATTATTCAAGGCAAAGAATGAAAATAGCTACCAAAATATAAATATCACAAACAGAAGAGATTGCAAAAGCTCTGCCTCTTTAGAGTCCAGGTTAAAACTTGTCTTTTGAATTCCATACTTTTTTTTATGGTACAATACATGATGCTCGAGCGAAGGAAAGGAATGCTTAAAAGTTCAATGAGTTGCATAACTATGATTATTTTGAACTCCCTACTCATAGATTTGAATCGGGACTAAAGTGTCACAGGAAATGCTATATATGAAAACACAAAAATAATATTATAAGTTACATAACAAGGCTCGATGATATATTTGTAAGAGCCGCAAAATCAACCCCAACCCCAAGGACAGATCACGCGAATTGTGTGACCTTCTCCTTTCTCTTCCAATCACCTTCCCAATTGGGCTCCCGAACTCGTTATTGTCTTTCCTTATCATGCCAGTCGCACGATTCTTTCTTTTTCTCCCCACCTCACCTTACCACCTTTCTGATGAAGCTTGCTGCTCTCGATTAACCGCGCTCTCCATTGCCCTCATAAGCTACTGCCAGAATGTATGATGTAGGGCATCACACTCGTCTCGCTCGTCTCCTAAGGAAGACATCAAAACCTTTTGAGTGAGCCTCTTCTCCCACTCCTGAAGCCCTATCCATAGTCTCTGACCCGAACAACCACCAAAGCCTCCCTCCCTTACTCCTTGCTCACCTTCTTTGATCGATGGCGACACAATCCCATCATTGTCCTCCGCAATTGTCGGCTCTCTATCCTCCTTGTTGAAAGTTGTCAATAACAAACTCTTGACCTCCTCAATGCTTACAAGTTGGTCGCTGCCCTCATTATTCTTAGATTTGAACGTAAATCATGATACACAATTTAGATAATATATATGAGATGCTCAATTATAGTCGTAACTATTTTGTTTGTTTGTCATCAATGAAATTATATTTTAATTAATTAAAAATTAAACTATTGTTGCCCATATTTTTGTTCATAGGGTAAATCTTTTTAGTTCATTTATAAGTGGATTATTTATGATTTAATTTTTTAGTTAATACCAATATAATGACTATAATTAAATTAGATTGATTTTGTTAATTAAAAAAAAAAGGTTATAAGGAGACTCTTTATGCTTAGTTGGGTTTGAGTATAGACTAGGTCGAATGCTTTCTTTCGTAATCCAATTATCTTTTATTCAAATTAAGATGTTTTACAGGACCTCTACCTGGCACAACCTATTGGATTTCACATAAAAGTGAGAACTTTTAACAGCCTAACTCGGGTAATTGTTCTTTATAAATGATAAATGTATCATCGATGGTTAGGAGCATTATTTTCATACTTACTGTTTAGGAGATATTATGAAATAATTGTTATAAGCTATATTAAAAAATAATTTATTCCTGTTTAAATTTACGGTGATTAGATTTATTTCCTAATATAACTTTATTTTATTTCCCATTTTAGACTTTCCTATTGTATGTTATTTCTTTTACCTCTAAATCATTAATATGAATTGACTACTTGGAGATATTAGGTGTTATATCTTTTATTTCCTGTTAGTTCTTTTTTATTATTTTTCATATTCTAAGATTTATGTAAGGGTTATTTAAACTCCATTTCATATCAATTAAAATACTCCACTGAATTTTAAAAAAATCAACATGATATCAGAGTCCAATTCCCTATCTTAGTTGTCAATCCTCCCTCCAGAGCTGTCGGACTCCCTCCGTGCGTCATCCCTGTAGAATGGGAGGGACGCTATCGATGAGGTTGTCTATTTCAACTCCCATCTGTTGCCTCCTATCGCTCTCGGAGCTGCACCTCTTTCGTGTGAGTTCTGAAGGTTCTCATTCCGACGTTTTATCTATCCATCGAGACTATACGAGATCACACCGCAAAGCTTCCCGACGAAGTGCTTGCCCTAATATTTTAGGGACTTGGCTCTAGTGATCAAAAGCGCTATTAGTTGGTTTGTTGGCGATGGTTCGGGGTAGAGGGTCGGAATCGCCATTGCTTGTCTATCGACGCTTATGTTGTGCTCCTGGATGTAGTTTTGTCTCTCTTTACGCATTTTGATGTTGTATCAGAGCTGGCTCACAAGTGCAATCACCATACCGAAAACGTCAGCAATGAGTCTCTTGGTCTCATTGCGCAGCATTGCCGTAATCTGACACACTTGAAGCTCCGGGCGTGTCAAGAGCTAAGGAGGTTGGGATGTCTATATTAGTGAAACATTGCCCTAATTTTCGTAATCTATGTTGCAAATCTTGTACATTTGGTGCTCATGGTGTGGAGGTCGTTCTGCATGGATGTCCTCTCCTGGAAGAACTCTCAATCAAGCGTCTCCGGGAATTGAACGAGACAGGTGGTATTGGCAATAATACTGTTATTTCTTCCTCTTCTATCCGGTCTATTTGTCTCAAGGAGCTCTACAACAGCCAGTGCTTCGAAAAAGTCATCGCCAGTTTGCCAAATCTTCGAATGCTCATGCTTTTTCGGAGTGTTGGCGAGTGGGATTGTATCCTTGAAGAGGTTGCAAAGAAGGTGACCGGCCTGATCGAGGTCCATCTTGAGAAACTACAGTTTACTGAGAAAGATACATATCGATGGTTGGAAGCCAAAAAGGATTGAGGACGAAGGTCTTATGACTGTTTCCAAACGTTTCCCTAACCTGCAGAAACTTGTTTTGATTGGGGTTAATCCCACTTCTCTGAGCCTCAGACTTATTAAAAGTAATTGTAGAAATTTAGAAAGATTGTCTCTTTATGGAAGTGAGACTTTTGGGGATAAGAAGATTTCTTATATTGCTTCCAAATGCATGGCTTTAAAGAAGCTTTCTATTAAGGGTTGCCCTGTTTCATCCAGCTCATCTATGGTAGTCTCAGTGTGTTGATGATTATGACATTGTCATCAATATATGCATATGCATGCTATATTTATAATATTCTCACTAACTAAATTTGATGTAATAAAGAATATAGATTGGTTATAAACTTATCATGCTATTATAAATTGTTATAAGAGAGTGAATTTTGTATACCTGAGACATCTCCTTTTATTTTCATGACAGTCGAGGAGTTTGATCTCGTTTGATATTAGCAGTTAAAAGCCCAAAAGATGATATCGCATGGTTGTGTCGTCTATTCCACTCGTGTGGTGGATACAGATAAATCCATTATTAATCTAGGCAGTGTTCCACTGGTTCAAGATTTTGCTGGTATATTTCTGAAGATTTACCTACTTGCCATCTAATTGTGAGATTAAGTTCACCATAAAACTATTGTTGGGTACCACTTCAATTTCTAAGATAATGTATTGATAACCACTGTTTAACTCCAAAAGCTCAAGATTCTGTTGTAAAAATTGATTGAAAAAGGATTTACATGGCCTAGTGTTTCACCTTATGGAACACCATTCCTATTCATGAAGAAGAAAGATGGGAGAGCATGGCGCCAACTACAGGAACTAAATCAGGTGACTCTGAAGAACGAGTATCCACTGCCTCATGTAGACAATCAATTTGATCAACTTGAAGGCTCATTTGTGTTCTTTAAGATTGACCTCTTATCTAACTACCATCAATTAAAAATCAAGACTAAAGTTGTACCTAAGACAGTCTTTTGGCCCCGATATGGTTATTATAATTTTCAAGCTATTGACGGCCGTTTTAATTTTGGTTTTGAAAAATATAAGAAAAATATGAAAATAGTTTGGATATGAATATGATTTTTGAAAGTAACGTTTTGATTTAAAAATATGTGAGACCAAATGAGTCTCACATTTTGGATAGTTTGGGTGACTAAGCACGGTATCACAAGTAATACACTTATCCCGAAAAATAAACATATCACCTGTAGTAGGCTCAATCACCTAAACTAAAGAATTTGTGACATCTGTTTGGTCTGCAAAATATTTTATATAAGGCCAAAAAGTTCTCCTACCTAATACGAGGATTAGATAGAGTTTATTTTATATGGGTTCCAAGTTCCCTATAGAGGCAAGCCCCTATAGTTAATTACATCTTAAATGACTTGGGTCACTTAAGAAAACTCTCGATTAAGATTAATGGTTTTCCCTTCAAGATTTCAAAGTTTAGGTTTCCAAGATTGGACATGGGAATATCAAATGGGAATGGCTCAAAATAAGGACAGTTATTTTAAGAAATCCAAAGGAACGAAGAGTATGGGATATCACGGATCCAGGGAGAAACCCCGGTGACTTCTCAATTATCTTGTTGTTTGACTTTATATTTTTTTTAACATAATGCTTATTTGATATTTCAATCCTGCAAATTATTTAGAATTTAGGACTTATATTGGCATGATATTGGCATGATATTCGATCGTGCAAATAGCTTAAAAAGATAGGAGGATTTACACTATACCGGGCGGTAACCTCGGAACCTCGGAATCCTAAAGTGTTAGGACTTATAATTACACTATAAGGTTATGCAAAAAGCCTAAAAGATGATCATATGGGTTGTTATTTAAACTAAAAAGGATGATAGGTGATGTGAATGTGTTTTGATGTTGCAGATTCATCTTGAAGTTGTTCCTCGTCGTGCTGCCCACGATGTTCGTTCCAAGCTCCTCGTTGTAGCACCTCTAAGTTTGTTGTTAATCTTATATATAACCATTAGGTTGTCCTATACTAAGGTATAGTGTGTATCAAAGCAAATAAAACATGTGATATAAAAGAAGAAAGAAATAATATAACATGCTAGGAGAATAGTATGACAGGCTAGGAGAACAATATACATGCTAGAAAAACAGTATAACATGGTAGGAAAACAATATAAAAGGCTAGAAGAACAATATAACATGCTGTGAAATAAAATATTGTAATGTAAATTAAACA